TTTCATAGACTAACAATTTCTTCACATTCAAATCTGTAAGCTCTGATCTTTTAGGCGTTACTAAAAATGTTTATTTTAAAAGAGTAAAAACTATATTCTGAAATAGAAATTAAGATGAATCTAATAAAAAAAGATCGAATAATTTGGATAGTTTGCTAAGATAGGTATGTGTGTTATAATCGGAGATTAAATTTGATGATTTTTCAGTTGCCGATCTTGTCTGGATACTTGTAATTCGCCCGATTTGAAATTATATATTTTTTTATAATTAAGATGGTTCTTGCATTTTAACGTTATGTGATAGGAATCATTAAATTACAATTGGTTAGCTTTAAACATGGTATAAAAGTTAGAAATATTTACTAATATGAAAATTTCCATTTTTATACGTAAAGTTTGGGAAAAAATTTTTTACTTACGATCATTTTTTCAGAAATGAGCTTTAAAATTTAGAAATAATTACTAGAAAAAAATTACGAATATGCATATAGTTCGAAATTTGTCATTTTTTATATGTTTTACTATATAATTTTGAACTGGAAATACACAATAACTCTCTTTATAGTGTAACAAAAAAATTTAATAGTAAAAAATTTTTGAAAATCCACTATATCGAGAGTTTATTAGTAAATTTACTATATCGAATGGATTTTTATTAAAGGTAGTTTGGATATAATCCACTATATCACGAGTTTAATTAGTCTCCACTGTAGAGGAGGTACACTATAAAGAAAGCCACTGTATTTTTCGAGGATACTGTACAGTACTAGTACCGGTGCTGTTATTAGATTTGGATTTGCTTTAATCACAGCAAAGCAAATTACTCGAGAATTTATACACGAGGTAAAAAATGAACATTTTCTAACAACCAAATGTTTCAAACTGCTCTTAAATGCAGTGCGCACTCTATTGATGATTACGGAATAACCAAATAATCAAATTACAAATGAATATTCAATAGTGCTTGACTATCAAACTAGAAAAATCATGTTTATCACGAACATCAATTTTAAACTATGATAAATTTATCGTTATTATCGTTATACATTATCTTTCCATACTGACACCCTAAAGCTTCTTTTGCTAACAGGATCTCGGATAATATTATAAATAACACAAGCCTGCCTTTAGGGCTTAAAAATTTTATATCCAATTTCGCAAGAATATAGCAATAGATGTGCATGAATCGTACATGTACCACCACACCAATCCAAATTTGTAATATTCTGTAAGTCAATTAATTTCCAATTCTATTTGTTTGTGCCGGTATGGGCTGTGCTTCAATTAGATTTTGATGTTGCATTTTACAAAAAATGTGCATGCGGCTTTTCGTTTCGTTCGATACAAAAACTAAAAGACTTGTTTGTTTACCCTCGCTCCCACCTGGATTTGAACCAGGAACCTTTCGGTTAACAGCCGAACGCGCTAACCGATTGCGCCATGGAAGCTTTGGTATGCTTCTAAGCTCAATTCTTATTTTCCTGTTTCTGATTGAATATATGCTAGTTAATTTTCTGGATACAAAGTTTTGACGATTTTTTTTAGGAAAATGTTTGTCAAGGAAAGGTTTCTATTTTTTTAAATGTGTTCGCAATATTTGAAAATTAATAAATTTAAAGAATCACGATAAAAAAGAGAACCATTTTATACTCATATAATGTCATATTAGAAGGCCTATGTTCTTTAATGAAAGAGCTTGTGTTCACAAAATAATAGTAATTCTCAAATAGACTCGTTGTTCAGAACGTAAGCAATACTTTCTTGAATCCTATACATGTGTGTTAAATTTGATAAATTAAAAATAATATCAATATTTTTAGTTTAATAAATTCGTATTTTGAATTAGAAGTAAATCAACATGTTCAAATTCAAATGAGCCAAAAAAATTAGTTCAAATTTTCCATTTTATTACTACGCTCACAAATCGCCGAATGTAATCCCTAAATGCACATATGATAATCGAGCTTCCAATATCGCAGCAGACTTAGCATGTAGCTCTTGATCTATAGATTCTATTAGAATTATATTATACTTTTTGGTATAGTATAGATGAGAACAACCATACTTTTTTGGCTTATTTAGCATAATATTATATCAACAAACTATAGTAAGATTATATGAATCCTTTGCCAATCTTCAAAAAAATTATAAAAAGAGCAGTATCTTTTGGAAGAAAATGCAAAAATTAATTTATTCAAAATTACTAAATTTAAAATTATATTTTACTATTCTTCAAGTTATATTTACCTTTTCATATTAAGTATCTTTATCTGATCTATAATGATTTTGATCTTTAGCTGAAGTTACTATAATATTACTGAACTATTTTTTATTATGAAAATTTCCAGATATTTTCAGAATTTTATCACTTTCTAAATGAATCATATCATAAACTTTTATATAAAAGTCTTTACTTTCAGATGCTTGTAATAATGTATCAAGAAATATATCTAATATAGTAATTATGTACAATAATCCTTTAATGAAGTTTGGGTATGATAGACTTTTCAAATTCTTCAATAAAATCACTTTTGCTTTGATAGTATCCAAAGATAATTTCTATAATATCTTGTCAAATCTCATAGTTTTATGATAAACTAACTTACTCATTATTAGAGTCAATTCTTTGTACTTCATTTGTAAGTATAGTTTAGAATTTATAATAAATTAATTATAATTAATATACTTGACTATTTGTTATATATTATTTTTTTTATTTAATAACTAGTACAGATTTTTCATATATAACTTATAAAGTTTTTCATATATTTCTATCAAGAGATTATTCAAGATACTATATTTATGAATTATCAGAATTACATTATAATACTAACTATGTAATTTAGAAAAATTATATTTTATAGTGAATAGTAATAAGAAGATTCTCTTAAATTTAGTTGATCAGTTGATAATAAGAATTTATATCCATTTTCAAAGTTTAATTGATTTTGCTTTATTTTATGTAATAATTTTGATTGAATTATCTTTCTTTAGATCTCTTTTAGTTTAGATCTTTATTTTATGTTATTATGACAAATTGGTAAGTGAGGTTTTACTTTAATTCATCTTAATAATATAGAGTTGGAAGAGACTGAAATAATTAAAGATAACAAGAGGAAAATTAAACTATAACTTTCAATAATGACAAAGATTTCTAAAATCTGTGCAATATCTATAGATATTATTTTAATAAAGAGTGAATAAATAAAGAAATAAATAAATAAATCAAAAAAATTATAAAGATTATCTGAGTGAAGTTACTAGTAATCAATATAACTCAAGATTTGAATTGATTAAATAGTAAACTATTAATTAAAAAAGGCTATAACTAAAGTAAAGATATAAAATTAAAATATGAAAACTAAATAACTAAACAAATAAAAAGAGTATGGCTTATTTATAGTAGAGATCTTCTATAGTGCTCATCATAGATAACAAGAATTTAATTTGACATGAACTATATATATAAATTTTTTAATTATATATCTCTAATAATATCAGCTTTTAATAAAAGTTTATTTACATGTGTAACTTAAAAACAGCTATAAAAAAAATTCTTCTCTATTTAGTCTTCATTACTTTTTTTTACTATGAAATAGATAAGATTTCTCTTGCTGACTGACAAAAAATCATAAGTAAGCTTTGAAATCATGATATTTGTGATAATCTAATTCTGGCAAAATTAAGTAATATTCTTCTTTCTATAATATATAAGTATATTACTAAACTAAAAAAAAAATTATAAACTTGAATTTATTTCATATTCTGAATATCTAACAATCTTAACTCTCCCAAATCATCACATATTAGAAAGAATTATTCAAAATAATCAATATCTTATTTGCAAAGAAATTGTTACTAAGCTTAATAGTATAGTTAAAATATTAGTATAAATAGTAAATTATGAATTTAATAAGCTTGGTTATCACTCAAGTTATCCCAAAATAATGCCTTTACTTACTGAAAAATAATATGAATGCTATGTGAAATGAGTAACTGCTTATGCAAGGCAAAACTAGAAAAATATTATATTTTCAGATGAAATTACATTTCAGATATTTTATAATACTATAACAGCATTTTACAAGATTGGTATAGATATTTTACAAAAGAGAATTCCAAAATATCCTGTAAAAGTTCATGCATAGGGCACTTTTTCAACATGAGGAATAATTAGTTTTTATATTTTTATTCAAAATATAAATAAATTACTTTACTATGTCATTTTAACTAATAATTTTTTTGAGAATATATCTAGAATTATGTCATTATGCTGGATTTTCCAACAAAATAATGATTCAAAACACATAGCAAAAGAAATGGCAGAATTTCTTTATTATCAAGTTCCAAAGATTCTCAATTGGCTCTTCTATAGTCTGGATTTAAATCTAATAAAGAATTTATAAGCTATTATCAAGAAAAGAGTAGAGAAATAAGTAAACAAAATAATCAAAAAAAAATTAGTATTACGAATTGATATGAGATAATTCAAGAAGAATAGGAGAATATTTCTGTAGATCTATATTTTAATTTGACAAATGATATGTCAGGATGATTAAATAATATTATTAAAAATAATAGGAAAAAAATTGATCATTAGTGTATATAATTTTTTTTATAGATACTATACTAATATTATTATAAAACTACAATCTAAATAAATAAATTTTGCAAAATTTATATTCAAAAAATAATTCTCATTATTTATAATAAGTACTATACTCTCAAAATAATATCAAAAATCAAAAATCAATATAATATTATAATTCAAAAATCTAAAATTAACTTTATATGGTCAAAAAAATAAAACTGAGTAAAAGAAAGAGTACTAATATAATTAGATTAGAAAAGTAATCTTTAAAATTATATTTTCCAAATAATTCAATCCAAAACTATTTATTTCAAGCTGGAATAGCAGGTCCTTTTATACATTTTTCAAATACAAAAATTATTATAGTATTACTAGCTAATACTATAATTAAAGTACTATAGTATAAATAATTATAAATGAATTACATCAAAGTATGTTAAAAGATATTAAAGAATATCAGAGTATGTGAAAGGATATTAAAAAATATAAAAAAATGTGAGAAGATATGAAAAGATATTAAAAAATATGAAAAGATATGAAAAGATGTGAAAGAATATAAGAGAATATCAAAGGATATCAAAGGACAAGAAAAGATATTTGAGATTGTTATCCAAGTGTAACTGTTCTATCAAAATTAAAAATAATCTTTCACTAAACTATTCTACTATGTATATGAATATCATATTACAAGATAATAAAAATATAAAGTCCAAATATTAAATAAGATATAATGTTTAAAAATAGAATTGTAATAATAAATATAATAATATATGATATAGAAAATAGAGATAATTATAAAATAAATAAAAATTATAATAAAATATAGTTTTTTATAACTAGAGAAAGATTAAGGAATTAAGAAATTTTATATTATTATGGTAACATATGGTTCTCCTTCAGAAAATTTTTGCTCTTGCAAAAATCAATTAATAATTTTCAATAGTTCTTTCTTATTCAAGTGATGCAACTTGATTGGTATAAACTCAAATTTATTATTGAAAGCTTCTTTTTCAGAATGATAAATGAAGAATACTTTATGAGTGACATTATATAGTCTATTATATATGTATTTTTCAAGAGTATCCTCAATATTCTTTTTGATTTCTGACATTTCTCTTGAATATTTTTGGAGTTGGATCAAAAATATATATCCAAGTTTATAATATTATAGTATCATCTGACTATTATTATCTAAAGGATTATTATAAATTGATAATATGGCTTTTTTGAGTTAGGTAGGCCAATCTTTTTTTAAGATTGGTTTGACATCTTCTGTTACAGATATGAATACTTCAGATTATTCTTCAGAAGTGGTTGAGCTATTAGAACTTATAAATTCTGATTCTTCTTTAATATTTTCTTGTTTAACATTAACTTTAAATTCATCTTTAGATGAGATAATAATAAAGATATTTAATCAGTCAAAATCTGAGTCAGTAATTATATTAACTGATTTAATTGATACTTCAAGAGATTCACTAGTTATCTGAGAATCCACAAGAAAAGAAGTATCAAATTTAATATCTTGAGTAAATCCAGATTGCATAAGTAAATCCAAAAGCGTAATATTAGTTTCTTGTCCTGAATTATTACAGGTAAGCAATCCATATGTTGAGAAGGTAATTATTCCAAAGGGTTGATGTATAAGTATTTTTTAATAGATCTTTTCAAGAAATTTGATCATTGAAAGGGTAATCCAAGTTGGTAATTGAGATATGATAAGAAATAATAAAGATAAAAGTATAAAAGAATTTGAAAAAGATATAAGATAATAAAAGTAAAAAGTAATAGATAAAAGTAAAAATATAAAAGAATAAAGAAAAAGAAAAGAGGAATAGAGAGGATATTTATATAAAATTTG